GAACAGCTTTGTGAGCCCTCTTGGGAACCCCACCACGTTTCAAGTGCAATAGTTCTCTCCTGCCTCAAAATCTTTGGCAACAGGCATAACAGGCATTAGCCTACCTGAGGAATGGAGGTCTCCTTGGAACGAGCTGATGGCTGTGTGTACACCCATCAGTCCTACCCGACACAAATGCATGTCCTGGTTGTGTGCCTGTTTCTGTGTCATCCATCTTCTCGTGGCTGCTTGGGAAGGTGTGGCTGTAGGTAGTCAGCAATCTCCCAGAGCAAGTCATCAGCTTTATCAGCTTCCAGATGACAACATTTTTGGGAAAGAGGGCAGTGGAGAGTGAGTCACAGGCTTAATGAAGCAGCCTGCTCGGCCACCTTCGTATTTCAGATACTTGAAATTAAAAGGGTTATTGGTCAAATGAGTTAAACTCGAGGGAGATCCTTGACAGTTATTGCCCATAATGACACTGCTCTTGTCACCATTACTGTTGTGGGTCCAGTGGAGATCAGGTACAGCAGAGGAGTGAGGAAGAGAGAAATTTATTCTTGTGAAGACGCACAGATGACCAGGAATTTGCACTTCTGCAAGTGGAAACCTGAGGATATGCCCCACACGCGACTTGTTGTGAGAGCTCCATCAGTAGCCCTCACTAAGACAATACTCCAGCCAGCATGAGCATAGTTATGTAATGTTTTACTTCCCTCATGAGCTATAACAACTCTCTCTCTCTCTCTCACATACACACTCCTCCTTTGGCTTTTCTTCATCCCCACGCCCACAGGCTCAGCAGCTGGTCACTGTGGCCTCGTAGGCTCAGGAGCCCTCCCTGGTGAGCAGGGCTGTCCTGCAGGGTGAAGGCTCTGCTGACACCCCAGGGCAGCTGCTGGGTGAGTTTGCCCCGAAAGCAGCAGCAATATGGTCACGTTGGTCACCATTCACCTCCCCTAGATAGCTCCTCTGAGGTGACTTCCTCATAATTACGTCTCCATAATTATTTCCTTCTGCAGTGTGGTGTAGGGAGGCACACACTGCCCCAAATGCCGTGGGAGGAGTTCTGTGTTACCTGCTACTGCTGTATGCCTGGCACTTGGGAAAAGCCTGGAATGACAGGCAGAGGGAGGGCAGAAAAAGGACCTAAAGGTGTGTTCCTTCAACACCTCCTGCTTGACAGTTGAGCCCTGCTTTTACCATGGTCAAGTGTCACAGGGGACCAAGTTACAGGGTGAATCAAACTCTATATTTAGGAAGAACAACTGGAAGCTATGACAGGAATTCCCTTTTACACTTTGCTTCTCTGCCGAGTCCCACTCCAGCCTGGAGCAGCACTCAGTGCCGTCCAGGCTGAAAGCATCGGAGCTATTTCAGACACATTAAAAGGGTCACAGTCAATACCTCAGCTGGTAGAAGAAGGTACCTCTTTCAGCATCAAAAGGAGGTGTGCCTACTTACTTGACGGTTTGGAACTTTTTTTATATAAGTAATTAAGTTAGCTACTCTTGAAGGGGTCAATTAAAATCTTGAAAGACCCTCATGAAAACTCTTTAGGAATTGCTGTGTTTACTACAATAGTTGTGGTTTTCTGCCTATTTTAATGTCTCATGCAGTGCATCAGAGAATTCAGAGCAGATCGCTATTACTTCATAGTCTGTGGGGATCTAAAAATTTAAAATAAAAGTCACTTAAATACCTCATGACTTGTAAGAAGTGTGTATGAGTTTGAATATTGTAGTAGATAGGCAGAAGGCTATTGTTTTCTGTATGTTTATTATAGTTAGTGAAATATTATTGTTTTGATGTAAGAGAGGTTTCTTTCACTAAGCCTAACAGGCAGCTGTAACACAGATTATTGTGTATGTATTACGGAAAATGTGACCACATTTGCCTAGAGCTTGTAATAAGTTTTTGTGTAACAGGCTGAAAGCTGCAGAGTAGGGGTTTCTCTTCTTTCATTAAATTGCTTGGGTCTCACAGTCATGTAGTTCCTGTCAAAGTCTTTTAATAAGATAATACACTGCAGTTCTGTCTCCAAAATGCCCGTTGTGCTTGATGCTGTGCATGCAGTGGGGGGAGAGGACAGATTCCAGCTGGGGCAGGGGGAGGGCTCTTGCTGTTGTCTGTGTGCTACTGTACATCTCTTGTGTGCATTACAAAAGAGGGCATTATGATATCTCATTGTATTTAAAGCAAATTGAATAAATCAGCTTATTATCTTGCTGCAGCTCTGTCAGAAATTATTTTTAGCAGAGAGACAGAAGATAGGTTCCTTTGTTTTACAAAGTTTTGCTTCAAAACACTCATTTATTCCCCTGCAGTAGTCCTATATTTCACAAGTAGTCCTGCTCGTGAGTACTTCACTGGAAAGCAAGGGAATTTGCAAGGGAAGGTTGCCATAAACCAGCTCCAAATTGAACTAATGCTGCCACTGCTTTCTAAGTTTGGCTCAGCATGCAGCCCATAAAAGGTAAAAGGTAAGGTGTGGGGAGGCCAAAAAGACACCAGGGAATACAGGCTGCGTGTCTGCATTTCTCTGCCTGCCAGAGATGTGAAATTCTGCTGTGGAAATGAGGGTGAAGTGGGACTTTTTCAAGTTTGCAGAGCTGATTGGAATACCAGAAATAACTTAATACAATCAGTGCAGCACTCTTGACTCTCTCTCTCTGAGACACGTGGTGAAAGAGCAAAGGAATTGATAAAAATTAACTTATCACTTCTGTAATGGATGCTTGTGTAATCTAAGGTTTATTTTCCTGTGATTGATGGTCAGTATTGCTCTGTAAGGAAATTCAGGGAAGGGAGGGAAGGGGAAAGAGGCACAGATCTATTTTTACTCAGTAGTGTGCTGTTGTCCTGATTTCTCTGGCGGTAATGAGGACAGCACGGTCTGCTAGGAAAATCACCTCCTCCAAAAGCAGTCCTACACAATTGTATCATGCATCCCTCTTTAGGCACCAGTGTCTGATTGCAGTAATTTCCAGCACTGGCTGCTTGTGAACCCAGAGCACCTCGCTGAGGAGCACTAATGCTGGGCTTGGTTCAGAGCTGAGGTTCAGGGTAAATCCTTGCCATTTATCTCTAAGTGCCCCAAGAGGTGTGTATGGGTGTTACTGCAATGCACAGGCATGCAAGATGAAGTACATCTCAGCAAGAATTTCTTTGTGACAGTGTTTGGGAAGTAGATCCACTGTGCTTCAAAATATTTAATGTTATTTAAACATTTTAAAATGTGCTTTTGTTTCCATTTTTCAGTCTGATTAGAAAGATGAGAATTTGATTAAAAATTAATTAAACATTCTGTATTATGACTTCCATCTTCCCAGTCAGTTGGGGAATTATTTTGTGTTTATTTTGGAATACAGTCACTGATCAATGGAACAGTTATTTATATGCCTCATAAAGATTTTCAAAACTAAAGGAGATAGAGTCTGGTAAATCTTTTTGTGTTTTTGAAATGTGTTTGAATTTTATCACAAATGTCAGTGGCTGAGATTACATCCCCTAAAGTAAATTCTGAAGTTTTAAAAACTCCCTCTCATTTGAAGATTGTATATATAAAACCACAATATAAAGCTCATTAAAAGAATGCTGATTTTATTTTGCACAGTGGGATTTTTTCTGATTTATTAATTTAGTAGAAGCAACTTAAACCCAAACAATTTATGAACATGATTGTCATCTGTCTGAATGCTGTGTGGGTTTGGACGCTGCTTTTTGTAGCTGAGAGTGTGACCAGAGGGAGACCTCTAATGGCAGGTCATTTGTATTTTTAATTCTGCTCAGCATCCTGCACAGATTTAAAACTGATGTGAGAATATGAAGGAGGAAGTCTTCTAGTCAGTCCCAGCAATACAATTTCAGGCTGATATTGCTGATATTCTAAGTTGAAGCCAACCTACAAATGATCTGTTTTTTTGGGGACTGCCTCATGTGGCAGTTATACTCTTTGAGGTAGCCAAGTCTTTACACACTTTTAATTTCTCAGTGTATTTCTGCTATTCTCTCCTATGTCATTTATTTCTCTTCTCATTACTTCCCTTCCTATCTAAGATTAAATACAGTATCAAAAATGTGCTGTAGTTTGGTGGTGATCTGTGACTTTTCTGGTGAATTAATTTCTCAGCCTTTAGAATTACTGCCTTACTTTATATTGTATTAGTTAAATAACAAGACTTTGATGAAACTCTAGTCCAGTTAAAATGTAACTTCTCAGTGAGAGAATGAAAGGCTGAGATGGTGTTTCAAATAATCTGCTAATAAAATTTCTTCCTTTTTACTTTGGTGTATTTCCCTTTGCTATTGTATAATAATAGTGTATCAGTCTGTGTTTCTCCACCTGCATAAAATTATATGGAAAAATATGTTATTTTTGATCTTATTGCTTAAGAAAATTGATGAATCTATATGATCCAAAACTTTGAAGGGAGGCTACTTTGTGCTCTAGCAATTGTCAAGGAGAACGTTTCTGTTTGACCATCTTGATAACTTTCAGTCCACAAGCATTAAAGATTTGCAAGGACTGAGTCAGAAAATTATTATGTCTGCATTTATCAATATTTTCTAACAAGTTATGTTTTATTTGAGAGAAGGCCTAAACTAATAATACTGAAATAATAATAAAACTGAAAGTTCTAATAATTCCCACATACTGTGACTGAGCTAATCATACACTGTTTATCCTCAAAAGCTTCCTTTAATTCTTACTCATTTTACAGTGCTGTTAAGGTTTGAGAGATTCCTTATCTCTACTCATTATTGTTTTTAATGTGAAAGAGATAGCTTCATTTGTGGCTATGAAAGATTAATTGGTGAAGCTCAGGTGTTCTGTCTCCTCCTGATATCAGAAGGAATAACTAAGCAGCTTGGAAACTGAGATGGAAACAGGAGCTGGGCAGATGAAATGGATGCCTGTCAAGAGGCAGCGTGGGTTAAGTTCTAGCTTATCTTCCACAGCTATCAGAATGTCAGAGCCTGTAACACTTTCCAATTTTGCTTGCAGGGATAAGCCTCTGTCGTAAAAATGTCAAAACAACCAGCATCACATGTCAAAGCCATTCAGGTAAGAGATAGCATTTATGTTTTTAATATAATAAAATAATAAATATCATCTTCCATTGCTTGGCAGACTGCATTTTTACTCAAACAAAGCACCATAGGAGTGCTAGCTGGGGTTATTCTGTTAAAGTGAAAAGCTTAGTAGATATGAAAGCACTGAAAAAGCATGACCTGGAGATCATCTTTTGATCTGAGCTGATAGAAAAAGTGGATCAGATAGGTTCATTAATCACTTGTTTGCATGGTCTTTGCAGTGTTAGGGTATGCCTAGTGGAGGATCATCTAAGAAAAGTATGGTAATGCATCTGTGTAACTGTAAAGTAAAAATAATTCCTACAACCATTAGATTTGCCACAAAGCCAATATAATGCTGGGAGAATGATAGGCTAAAAAGATAGCATGGGTGTTGTGAAGTTTTTCATGTTTGCATTCTTAAGGAGAAAAACCTTCAAGTTCAAATAATTGTTTAAGAAGCCTTTTATTTAGAAGCCCAAGGAAAATGAGAGGAACACAGATCTTTTAATTTGAAACATTCTTGTCTGCCACGTAACTTTTCAATGATATATTGAAGGAAGATGGAGTTGACTGTTGCATACTTCTTGCTTATAAGGATAGAGTTGATTGTTGCATACTTATAAAATAAACAGCTGGAGAATTATCCCAACATCATCATGAAGTAAAGTCATGAAGAACGTGTTTAGTTCATGTTATCATTGGTTCTTGTCAAAAGGCCAAAATATCTTCTCAACTGAAGAATCTTACAGAATTCTCATGTATTTTGTAAAATGCACTTCCAATGAGATTTTACTAGGAGTTCAAGTTGCCTTACCTAAGAAACACAAAATGGAATTTCTGAAGTCTTCTTTGTTCTCTGTTTTCTTGAGATAATATTAATGCAATGGATTGGAGTACCAAGATTAATCAGCCAGGGGCTAGGCATCATACTAAAGATGCAAGGCACTGTGAAAATGCAGATTCTCTTTATCTTTATCATCATCATCATCATCATCATCATCATCATCAATTCTACCAAAATAGGCATGCAAAATACTGTACACTAATTCTGTTGAAATTAGAAAAAAATTGCCATTTTGCCAGACTTTTGATTTCACTCAGTTCAAATTTAATTCCCTCTTTTACAATGACTATAGAAATGTTTGTAGGATTAATGAAAAAATATGGATCTTTAATAGCTGAAAAGTATTTATTTACACTTTTCCTTTAATCTCCACAGGTACATACAAACATTTCTAAGGTATTAATTGGTTTACCTTTTTTTCTTAGAAATGTAATGATAGGCTGCATTTTATTTCTAGGATGGCTTCCACCTTCTAAATATAAACAATGCTCCTAGGTTGTTCATTTAAAAAATGCATTAAATTTAAGCACTAAGTGTTATATTTTAAGAAATTTTATTTTTTTGCAAAGGTAACTTGAATCATGAGAAAAATTACAGCAAAAATTTAAAATATATCTATTAAGCATTGGGTCAAAGGTGGTTCTAGTAGGGAGACTTGCACCTGAATTGATGCTTGTTACACTTTGAGCAGTCTAAGAACTATGACTCAAAATGTCACATTACTTTTCTACATTGCGATTCATATCTTATGATCCTTTGCTATTGTGTGCTGGTATAATAGGACTGATGTGCCCTGGGGAACGTACATCATGCTGCAGCAAAGGGAATGTAATGGCACCTCACTAACTGAAGTGTTTCATGGTGTTCTGTCTCTGAAATGGCTTTTTTCTGACTGTGATAGATATGGACAAAAATGTTCACTTCCCAATAGCTACTTAACACAGATGTGTGAGAGTTAAAGGCAGCAACTGATTCCCAAGAGTAGTTTGGGGCAATAGAGGACCAAAGGATGTTAATTTCTGGAAGCAATTGCTGACCTCCCCTTCTCACTGTACTGAAGGCTGTGAACAGCTCTGACTGAAAATTATTCTATCTTTAAACACTCTTGGCTTTGCCCAGAGGTAAGGGTGAGGAGGTTTCTAGGTTTTTGTTGTTGTTTGTTTATTTCCGGATTTCATTCCATTTTCTCTCCAGCTCCCTTCCTTCCTTCCTTCCTTCCTTCCTTCCTTCCTTCCTTCCTTCCTTCCTTGTTGTTAGGCAACACAGCACAAGTCCTTGCAGAGCTATGCTGCTGTACAGAATTTGGCACACACATTACACAGCTGCTCATCTGCAAGACAGGACCAGCTCTGGATTAAGAGAGATTTACAGCTCAGAACTTTGGTACCTATGGTCAGGAATTGTTTGGAAACATCATATTTTCATTTCATACTGGAAATACTTTCATTTACAGTATGTATTATCAGATCCAAACTGTTTTTAACTATGTCTTAAAGGATGCTCATTTTACTAAGTTATTTTGTCACAACTGCGTACCTCTTGCTTGAACTCTGACATGAATGTCCCTACTGCAGACAAAAAGGTACAAACTGCTTTAGTGTGACACAGATTACTGGGAAAGTGCTGAAGCAGACCAAAGAGTTCTTTATTGAATTTAATTAGCAGCCTGGGACTTTTGCTTTCTGAACCACTTTTAGTTGCAACTGGTCTGTCAGTCACAGTGGGAAATGCAAGGGCTGTAGTGTTCTGTGGGAGGCTGGCTTCTGCTTTGGCTGCCTCCAAGGGGAAGGAATGTCTAAGTTCAGGATGTGCACCACAAGGAGAGATATCTCTTAAAGGTTCAACTCTGCAAACCTTGCAGAGCAGTTTCCCATTCCAAAAATCGAAGCTGTCTGGAGATACCAGAGCTTGGTGGGGCAGTTACTTAAAACTAGAAATGGCAAAGCTGGGTTATTTCCACCCATAAATGAAATAATGAGTTAGGAACTGTGAGGATGAAAATTCCCAGTCCCCATGGAACTTAAAAAGTGCAGGTGAAAAGTTTCACAGTATCTAAACTAATGCCCAGTGGAAGACCTTTATGAAACAAATGTCTGTGACCCTGCAGATATTTGTCAGCCCCACTGAAATGACAGTGTCATCTTGCATGAATAAGATAATGGGAAACAGGTAAGCAGAATAGAAGGAAAAGCATTCATTTCTTGGCAGATGGATTTTTAATTTGCTTGTCATTTGATTACAGCTGTCAGAACAGTTGTTGTTACTGAAAACCGTGAGCTGTTTTCCTGTGGTTGCCCAAGTGGGTCATGATCTGCAAGACCATAACTTGAGCAGGAGGATGGGATTATTTGTCTTCATTTAGGTGGTAAAGGACAAGAACAGAGCTCTCTGTTAGAAGGTTCTCTGCTTCTGCTCCGTAACATTATCGATTCAACCCCTGGTTTTACCAGTGGGAGTCGTGGTATTTTGATGACATTTCCTGGGAGCAGCTTCTCTTCTGAGATCACGAGATAAGAATAAGTATAAATTGTGCATTTAGTTGATTGTGCCATTTGACTTTTAAAACAATCTTGGCTGGGTCACATTGGGAAATGGATACTTTTCAGCTGCTCTTTCCTAAGCAGTGTTTTGTGCTATTCTGTTCCCCAAAATCTTTACTTTTAAGATATATATTATCAGCCCAAATTATGTTATGGCTGCTGGCTTTCTGCCCCAGGTAAAAGATGAGATTGATGCAGTTGTGTGGGTGTAGTTCTGGAGGGAGTTTGCAGAAGCCAGGGGCCAGTGGTCTGCCCTGTGTTGGAGCTGGTTCAAGTGTTTGCAGTTCGTAGCAACTGTGGGTAAATTTTATTGGTAAAATCACATTTTAAATACTTACGGCTTAAGATGACTCAGGGCAGGCTTCCCTTCTAAGATACCTGTGATTAAGTGAGGTGAAAAGTGGTGTCATTAGAGAATGGAGAGTGGTTCAGTCATTGGGTGTAATTGAAGGATTTGCATGATTTACACTTAAACATTGTTTTTGGCACTCACTCTCTGTTTGACCTTGACCAAACTGAAGCAGACCTAGGTGCCTAAAGACTCTTTAGTGTCCAGTACTCATTTGTTTTAAAGTTCAATGAAATCAGAAAGCATTAGTCTAAAATGCAGAAATTCAAAAGCTCTCTAGTTTGTTTTTTCACTTTCTCTCTTTCAAATGGAGATGAAAGCACTTCTCTTTCCACAGGAGTGGTGTGATGATGCATACATTGAAGACATAAGTGCTTGGAAAAACCGTGATAATGTCTGTATGCTTGTCCCACTCCTTTCGAGTTTTGCCCTTTACCAACTGTATCTTCATTTATCAGTCACTATTAAATGCATCAAATTTCCTTCTGACAGGCTAATATTAACATCCCAATGGGAGCATTTCGCCCTGGTGCAGGCCACCCTCATAAAAGAAAAGAAGTTACACCTGAAGAAGTAGAGGAGGTAAGCAAAAAAGGTTTTTTGATTTGTTTTTTTCCGAGGAGAATCCCTGCCATAAAATGGAAAAAGCCTTTAAAGTGTTCTTATAGCTCCACATACCCCTCTTAGGTACCACAGCTGGACATGCACTGATCATTCACGGAAATAAATGGCCACTTACTAACACTTCATGTATAAATAGTTCTGCTTTTGGTGCCAAGGCACCTATAGGAATATAAACAGCTTTAAAGGTGTGTAGCTCTGCTTCCCCAGCAGGATGATATCTGCTGTCAGGGGAGAGAGCCAGGATTTCACCAGCAGTATTTCTCTAGATGGGAGCTGATGAGATACAGCAGGAAAAGTTATAGCAAGGCTTTGGAAGACTTTGCTGCTACCTGTCACCCTGTGGTGTGATTTATTGTTACAGCTTAACAATATTGGAACAGGTTTTCAAACACAACGCTTTTTAGAAGGTTTATCAACAAGAAGAAATTGAATGTGAAGACACTTGCAAGTTAAAACAGAAATTCCAAACCTATTTATCTGCCCAGGGGTGAAAATACTCCATTTTCGACTGAATTCTGTATTTTCATGCTTGTATTTTGCAGGAAGTGTTTAACACTGAGGTTTGAATATACAATCCAATTTATACCTTAACTAACATTGATCACAAAGGTTATGATTAAACACAGATATCATATTTCTGAATCATATCAAAGCATCTCAATTACCATTAACTTCAATAATAAATGAGACCCTAACACCTACAGTGGAAGAAAAGGTAGTGGTAGATATTCCAAGCAAGATAAAAAAGATGGGTGCTCCTGGCCAGTTTACTTAGTCTGGATTCACAGTCCCCACATGAGAACTCATCCTGCTGGGCCAGAGCTCCCACTGCTCCTCACAGCCAAGGGCAGGACAGGCTGTGTAAGACCCAATTCTTCCTCTCCTGTCTCAGGCAGATTTTTTCTCTGAATTTTGCCATATTTTGATATAAACAGTGCTCTGTTTACAGAGAACTTTCCTGAAATAATCAAACCTAGGCTGACTTGGCTCTTCAGAAGATTTAGAAAAAAAATATACAAAATGACCTTGGATAGGTATTGTGGCTTTCTCTCTTGGAAAGGAATCAAAGCATATTCTCTCTGCAGTAATTAAACTGGTGAAGGAGTGGATGTTACTAAGCAGAAACTAATATAGCATGTGTGAGTTCTAATAGTATTTGAGAAATAAAACAAATGACTGGTGCTGATAATTACATTTGTTTGGGTAATTGAATGTTGGTTTCTCAGCTGCATGAATACCTATAGGAGACAGACATTATGGAAGATCTTGGCCCAGGTTTTATGGGCAATACTCAACCAAACCAATGGGATTAAACACTACAGACAAAGATCTTGTTATAGGAATAGAATAAAAATGCTACCAGTGAACTTGTCATTTCAATTTTCTCATCTTGTTAAGTTTTGCCATACAGCTCATGATTTTTCAGAGCAGTTTTAGACAAATGCAACTTTTGCTAACAGTGCATAATTACTGCTAACAGTGCATTTGCCACTGTATTTTAAAGCCTTGACATAGGAGATGAGGGGAATATGGATCTTACTCAAAGGGGTGGTGGAGTCAGATAGGAATGTGTATTTTTGAAGGTCAGTGGAGCAGACATGTTAACATGAAAAGAAATGGAGGGTGGGAATTACAGGAAATAACTCTTCTTCAGTCAGAGCATTCCCATGCTTGTATTTTTTAACCCTTATTGTATATCTATTAACCCTTATTTTATATATATTGTATATGTAAGGGACTCTTCAGGCTTCCTTCCATAAAACTGAAGGCTTTAGTCTAAGCTCAGCTGTGTGTTGCACATGGAGTGAGTGATACAGGGAGCAGTGAGGTCCTAAACAGCAAACACCTGAGGCTGGAAGAGAAAGCTGACAACAATTTATGGAGCACAAAGTCTCCAAAATGTGGGCAAAGCTTGCACCACTTGTTCTACAAGAGGAGTGGTATTGCACATGACTTGAAATGGTATTTTTTACATAGTTTCTGCTATGTATTAATAAGTACTGCTGGGTTCAGGGAGTGCTTGTTTCCCGTGTTTATTCAGATTATCTAGGAAAACTGTCAAAGGAAACAGTACAAGCTCATTACATCTTTGACTACTAATACAATTTTGTGCATCCTTCCAAACAGCTTTTGTATCATTTTACTTATTCTCCTGCTGTGCTTTGCTACTGTTTCAGGATGTTAGATCATTAAACCACGTATCAGGCAGTACATATAGTTCCTGGGGATGAATTACTGGCTAGGATTTGAAATAATCTGGCAAAAAATAGTCAAATATTATTAGTATTATCTTGGATTAATTAATAGTGTATTGGCTAAAATGTCAGAAAAGATAATACAACTGTACCAAGCCAAGAAATGTAATTATCAATTCTATTTTCTAATATCTGGTGATCTTAGGAAAGTCCTTAAAGATCAGATAGGAAGAAAGTTTTCTCCAATACCTTGGTTTTTTGCTAGTAGACATTGCAATCTTCTTCCTGCTTAGCATGTAGTCCATTAGTCGACAGAGAAAAAAAAAGAGGGGTTTACTGGCCAATAATATTTGACAAGTAATGTTGGAATTTTAAAAATTAAGTTAAATATTAAGAATTGACTGTTCACAGTTAATTCCCCTTTTCAAAAAGGGTGGCTAATAAATCTGAATCATGATTGAATTCTAAAAAGTCCATCACAAGAGGACATTCACAGAGTAATCAAAAATGAAAAAATAATTTCATAATGAAATTATTTATAGTAAAATATAAATTAATCTCTACATGTACTTGATTCCTCCTTTATGTCACCTTTATAAAATACACACCAGGCTGGAACAACAGTACACTCATGTCTGGAAATCTACTCCTTGAAAAGATTACCCAGTCTACAGTAGAAATGGTCTAAAATAGCTGCTCTACTCACCTAGAAGCAATAGTACAGCTGAGGGAAGTACCAAGGGCTGAAATACTGTGGTCCATTGGGAAATGAGCTGAGTTGCTCATTGTTGTGTAATTGCTGTTATTTAACTGGTATTTTTACATGTCAGCAAAATAGCCATGCAGCACTACCCTAATTCAAATATAAAATGATAAAAACCCCTTCTGGTCTTGCAACTGAAGTTATGAAAAGTTAAATTTCAACTCATGTTGATCTTGCATGGAGCTTTTGGAGTCCATAACCCACTATCATAGCTCTTCTCCAGAGCTGCAGAAGTACATGATGATCTTTCTCTCCAAGTGTCTGCCAACTGTGAAACTCTAAAATGAATTAGATGATAAAAAATGCTGCTTTTTTATCATTTAAAATATGAAAGATTTAAAGTTTAATTCTCCTTTAATTCTCCAGTTATTTTCTAGAAATATAATTGCCTGGCATTATAAATTTTAACCCATTCTAAACCTCATTCCTCTACACTGAGCATCTTCCATTCTTTTTAGAATGGTTTTAGACACTGTAGACAACAACCAACAAAATAACTTATCTCTTCATGACTCCACCCCTTTTTCCACTGGGATTGCCTTTAGAATAAAGACATCATTTCCTGTTTTTCAAATAACTGATCTATGCTCATGTTCAAGAGATTGCTATTGCAGCAGGAAGGTCACTGGTGTCTTTTTGTGCAGAATGCTCCTGCTTCAACAGAGGAGGAGAAAGAGAAGAAACTGCTCCCAGGAGCTAAGAAACTTCCAGGTCTTGCTGTCAACTTGTCAGAGATTCAGAACATAAAGAGTGAGCTGAAATATGTCCCCAAAGCTGAACAGTAGCTGGAAGAAGCAGGTGAGTAGAAGAGAGGTTCTCTGCATGGCTCTGGGAGAAGCAGGCTGATCCAGAAAGCTCTCTAAGTAAAAAGACGGTTTTTCAACTACTCCAGTGGACCTGGAGTCACACACCATAATTCAAAGGAAAAATATTAGAACTCATAATTGGGATTTGCTGTTATTTCAAACATTTTGGAGACTATATCCAGTGATATATGGCACCCACCAACCAGCCTGAAGTAGTCTGTTCAGCATACTAGGAATTCAGTGCATTTGGAATATCAAAGCCACTTTAAAAATAATGTATTGCTTCATAAGCATAAGTTCCAGTTTTGTAAAATATAGATCTTTTATTTTTACAATATAACTACAAATTAATGTTTTCCAATGCAAATAAATTTATTGCAATGATGGACAAGTAGGTCAGTATTTTTGAAAAGCTCCTTTGGAACATTAGTTATTTGATATTAATTTATTCATGTAATTGAAAATTGACATACTAATGGTTCTATGTATTTGACCACACAAACATACCCCACGCTATTTGTGGCACTCCAGGGCTTGCTGTAGTCCAGCACAGCAAGGACATGGATCTGTTGGAGTGAACCCAGAGGAGGGGCACAAAGGTGAAGGGAGGGCAGGAGCATCTCTGTGAAATACAGACTGAGAGAGTGAGGTTGTTCTGCCTGGAGAAGAGGAGGCTCTGGGCAGATATCACTGTGGCCTTTCAGTACTGAAAGAGGGCTTATAGAAAAAAGGAGGACAGAATTTCTGGTAGGTCTTTTTGTCATAGGATAATGAGTAATTGTTTTAAACTTGAGGGCATTGGATTCAGACTAGATATTAGGAAGAAGTTTTTTGCAATGAGTTTGATGAAACACTGGACCAGGTTGCCCAGAGAGGTGGTGAATAAATGCCCCAGCCCCATAAACACTGAAGATCAGGCTGGATGAGGCTCTGAGCAACGTGGTCTAGTGAAGATGACTCTGCTTATTGCAGAGGGGTTGGAATAGATGACCTTTAAAGATCCTGTCCAGCCCAAAGCAGTCTATGATTCTATGATCGTTTTATTTAAAAGGAAATCTTCAGTGCCAAGTGAATATTTCCAAAAGGAAATATTCAGCGCTTCAGTGCCAACTTCAGAAAAATTTATATCTGATTTCAAACTAGACCCATAAGCCTTTCTTGTTCTACATTCTGAACCTTATAGAAATTTATGATAACCTCTGTCCATGAAATTATCCTATGATTTCTTTGAAAAGCCTGAGTCAGTAAAGATGTGTCAGGCACTTACAATGAAAAACCCAGATGTACAGAGAAGTTTTAATTCCAAAAAATCCCCACCCTGGCTATAGTAAGAAAAAGATAGTTGTGTCACATAATATTCACCTGAATTGGTAGTTGTGCATACTGACTGATAAATCCTTTTTATCTTGAAGAGAGGCAGAGGAGTTGAGCAGGAGAAAATCATCTGGAATTTACTGCACAGAAACATAAATGAAAAAGAGAGGAAAACAGAAAGCCATGCAAAGGGGTTCTGGGAATGCAGAAATGCTAAGAACCAAGAATATGAAAAGAAATTGTGTATAACTTGAGTGCATTACCCCAGTGCACTCTGCATCATTAACATAATTATTTTTTATATGCAGCATAAATATGCCATTTGGAAGGAAAGAGTGTTGAGTTTTTTCTTGCTTTTACCCTGCTGTGTCATAATGTTCCTGATATTTTAAACATGTAACAGAGTCTTTCTCTTCAGGAAACTTGGAGGAGGGGAAAAAACATTTTGTAAAATGTAACATTTTAGTAATTTCAGTAAAGCACTGCCCAGAGAAATATGAATCTTTAATGTGAGGCTTTAAAGAGGTTTTTTCCTATAAGAGATATTCCAACATAAATTTAGTCCCATATTTATTCTCAGATAATTACTATTTTTAACATTTAAAAGTTTTTTAGTAATTACCTTACTGAGAATCTGACAGAAACATTTAGGGCAGGCTCAGATGTTCACTCTAAAGTTTTCTACAGAAACATCAGCCAAGTAAAGGGCATCTTGAAAGCAATGAGATTATTAAGAAGTAATTTCTGTCTCTGTCCTTCTTTTGATGTATTGGTTATCAGGTTCTGACAGGGATACAGGTTTCTAGATTTTGGGTAGTGCAGTCACAGATCAGATCTGAAAACTCAGTGTTCACAGGATCTGCAGGTACAAGACTCACTGGATGTTGGGCAGAACTAAGCATGTGCCTGAATTCCACATAAAATTGAGATGTAAATTAATCAGGTGCCACATCCAGCAGCCTTGAGTGATACTAAATGTAAGGACTGTCCCCTGTAAGAGGAAATTAATCAGATCTGTTGCTTAAGTTGTGGCCTGCAGCCTTGTATAAAATGTGGTCTTGTCAGAGAGCTGTTTAATGATTGATTGTGCAAATCTAGAGAAGATTATCTCAGTCTGGAAGAAATTCACAATCACATATACCTGATGCTTTGCTCCATCTACAAGAAGGGGTTAGAGATCATCCTTTGGATGTGATGATCTCAAAAGAATGGTGAGCTAACTGGTCAATAGAATATGCCAGTGCAGAGTGTGTACTGATAGATGAGAGTGTTCTTTGGTTTTCACAGTTTGGAAATTAATTCTCTCTTACATCAGTACTATAATCTTCTCAGATATTAACTATTGAGGGATTTCCCTTTGATATTATTTTTTTTCTTTCTTGTGGTACTCTGTAGGAAACTCTGTTTCTACTTGAAACAGTTAGAATAACTCCAAATACTCTGGATAATTTCCATTATTCTGTGATCCTATAATATCATGCAATAAAAAAAATCACAAATACACTTTAACATGCCACAGATATCAAGGCTTTTAGAACCACAGCAGGTATTTCCAACTTTACCTCCTGTATTTTCATATTTCATGGTTAGTTTCAATAAATTGTAAGCTGACATGATTAATTTTGTATTAATTTTGATCCATGTTTTCTTGCTCAGTTTAGCATGCAAACCCAGCAGCAAAAATAAGAAACCAACAAAGCATTAGGCTGGTTCAGTATTTGCAAACCCATTCCTACATAATTTTCACTTTAGAGTAACTTCTGTTAAATGTCTTAGGTCTTGCTCTTCACCGAATTAGGAAACATGAATAGACTTGCTAGGATCATAGTGGTGACTACAACAGTTTGTGGGAGGAATGTAATTAGGGAGATGTCATGAAGCTGGATCCACTGAAGGTCATCAAGTGCTCCTCAGTTAAGATATTACTGTAGTCATCCCTTATGGGGATCTGGTCTATCATCTATAATTAGCTAATTAGCATAATCTCTCATAAAGATTTTTTTCTTCCATACCTGTAGATGATGTGTTACATGCAGCTAGTTTTAATATACAATGTGAGTTATGATCAATTTTCCTTTTCTCCATCTACAATTTTTTTCTGCTCTTTTCACACCTGGACATTTCTACATGCACAGGAATGAAGCATATGCAAAATAAAGTAGTAGCAAAATATCATACACTAAAAATATATGCCCTATTGAATAAGCAATGGTAGGAAGCATTTAGTTTGTGACAAATGGAGCCTGCTGCGGCTGAGATTTATTGCCAATTGTTGTGATATCTCATGTGATAACTAGCATGGTGATTGTACTTGAAAATGGGCCTGAGCACAAACTGGCATTTCCCCTGAGAATATAGATAATGGCAGCCAGTTACTTCTGCAGCTCATGTTCATTCTTCATCCTGCATCCCTTCACCTTTGTGTCCTAAGTGTGGAGGGCTGTGTAACAAATCTTTTATGGTGATGGGCCATGGAATCTAAATGTTGGACTTTGGTTTCAGAGGACCTAAACCTTCAGCTAAAGGGGTCTCATCCTTTCCTCTTGAAGAAAGCATTCTTAGTGGAAGAACTTCTCAAAAGGCAAAAAGGGAATTTACTATCTTGAAGTTACAAAACAGTCTGTCATGGACATAGGGGCAGCACTCCCAGCACTGTATTCTGGTCGTGTTTGGAGAATGAGATTGTCAGGATCCCCATCACAATGTTGATGAGATGGTTTCTCACCATCTAATGCAGTACTTGCAGACAAATCATTGTCTTTACCTGGAGCTCTACTGGAGAAGGTGGTTTGATTGCAGAAGGTAATTCTGTTGTCAGGTTACAGAAGCAAGGGAACTCTATTTTGAAGTCTGAAGAACTAGCGAAAGCTTCCTAGCTCAGCTTAGCCTTTGCACTATGCAGAGAATTCTGCCCCACATAAAATGAGAAATCTTGTCAGCAGAGCAGCCTCTGAGATTGGCATCACTTGGGGGAAAAAGAAAAGGGGAAAAACCATAACAGAAGTCCCTCAGGGAATAAAGGTCTTATATCCATACACACAAGATGGTGTGCTATTAGTTATTCCTTGGTGTTGCTATTAATTATTTACTTAAAAAAATTTGTCTATCACCCCAGGCTAAAAATGCACATTATAACTTTGCCCACTAAAGACTTAATTACAGTTTCCTGCTATATATTGCTCTAAAGCTGCCCCTCAGTTGCAGCAGCCATTTACCTCTCCTGGTGTCCCTGCTCTTACACACAATTTAGTGTTTGCATCTTGTCCCTGTGCTCTCATGGATCAGAGGGGTACAGTTAAACTGCAGAACAGTTACAAGCAAGGTTATTGCTTTTTTCTCAGAAACACAACAGTGCTTTGCCAGTAGAGGAACTCTGACCTGCTGTGAGCTCTTGAAAGAGCACTGCAGTTTTAGGAATATGTGTTCATTTAATTGAGTCCCAGCAGCCAAAGCTTCTGTGAGAGAAGGAGATCTTGCATCCAGAGGATGCCAGGGTAGGTCAGGATATAAAATCTCCTGGAGTGGGAACTATGGGGTGAAGAGGGAAGATGTGCATCAAGAATTTCTGCAGGACCCTCCTGCCAAAGTGAGAGGGGTCATGGGGAGATCTCCTTGGTGTGCATGAGTGCCTGAAGGCAGGGTGCAAAGAGGGCAGAGCCAGGCTCTTCTTGGTTATGC